GTTGTTAGACAATAATTAATTCGAGTTTTGTGTACTCATTAAAAAAGCCCTTGTAAAATAGTGCTTACTTCGGCTTTTATGAACTCGTTAAAAACAGGTTGTTAGACGACAGTTACTTGTACTTACCTGTCGTCTACTAGATGTTTTTGGTGAATTGATATAAACATTGTACATTTATTGCGCGATTATAATGATCGACATTTTATGTTATTCTTTTATAGAAAAAGTGCGGATTTTTTTAGGGTGTCTCTCTTTTTTATTGTGTCGTTCCGTTTACAAACGTTTTATGAAAATAACTTATATACTATTTGAAAGAGTAGAAAAAGCTCTGTCTTTTGGTAAAAAAAACCTTTTTCTTGCAGCACTCTTCTATCCAGAAGAAAAAGAAATCAACATTTTGTGGCATTATTTTTGCATCGTATGATACTTCAACAACATAAGCATCTGTTCTTTGATTAATAGATTTACAAAAAAAGCAGATTAATTAATCATAAATTTGGCACTTTTCTAATTCTAAGTGTAAATATATCATCCAACAAATATTATATTATATATATTTCATGTTGTGCTTCTATTAAATACCTATTTACGGATAAACAGCCATCATTGCTATGCTGTTTATTTTTAAATATAATCTATTTAGTGCTATTAAATATAGCGTATATCAATAATATTAACTTTATTCATGTTTTGCTCGATGAAATTAATTGAAAACTGTTGAATTTTTTTCATTTAAATATCATTCATTTTAATACAATTCATGTTACATTTTTAATTTTAATTTATCTATCTATCATTAATGCTAAAAAGGCGAAGCATGTGTTGTTATATAAATTAGAATTTTTAAAAACAACTAAGAAAAAAATGCTAGATATTCACCAGGAATAAATGACTTGATTTTTATGCTATCTTGGATTTACATCATGTTCAAAATTCTTCATAACATTCATATATAAAAGAGAAGAAAAAACAATGCAAAAGATCAAAATCTACATTAGAAGCTTATGCATAGAGTCATTAATCTATTCAATTTTCACTGTAGTGATAAACAAAATATTTCATATGATAGTTCTTTTCAATGTGATTTTCTTACATTTCACTGCAGCTGTATCTCAAATATTTCTCTATTATGCATATTGGGTAAAAGAAAGTGAAAGTAATAATGGGCTACAACATGATTATTTACGTGTTCCTGCTTCGAATGATGAAACCAGTATTAATCGTGAAATTAGATCTTATTGTATGAGTGAGTTGCCATCGAAATTTCACATAATCGAAAACGATGATGTTTTTCCAAAGTTTATTTTTGCTGAACTTTACAAAGGTGTGTGGGTGCGAGTGCAGATGCTGATGAACTGATGAGTTACACCCACACCCCAAAATGATTAGCTTGACAGCATGTTTTTTTTCTATTGCAATATGGCAATCCTAAATGACAACGCAGTTTTCTTGTCTCACATGTTTTTATTCAATTCAGTGATGTATTTGTAGGTAGTGACTATATCAGAATGATTGGGGGAAGAGACTTTTTGAAGGTTTCAAGTGCCTTTTGATAGAATAACAGTGCATCCGAGGAATTTTCATATTGTAATGAAGTTTCTCTTCCCCTCTGCTCGATTGAAACGAATACAAATGAATTGTGTGAAAGATGATCATAATTTTTCTGTAGAGTTATAAACGAGCTACAACAATTGGCAACAAAGCTACACATTCAAATATGTCGTTGTGAACTGGAATAGCAATCAAATATTAATCAGCTCTGCTTTTTTTATGATTCATATTTCAACGGAATACAAAAGTCGAAGAATGTGATTTCGAATTTTTCTAAAAAAAACAGACGAACACGATTTATTTTCTGTCGAAACCGCATCTTTCCATATTGTCAAACATTTTTTGCTTGAAAAATTAACATAGTATGCATCATTCAATGCAGTTTATTGTGCTAATTCCAAGTATGACCTTATTCTACTCTTAAAGTGCTCGTGTGAGAAAAAAATGCGGACAACCTTTAAAAACAAAATTTTGAAAAAGTCTGTTTTCCAGTCCGGAAGCATTTGTGCATCTATGTGCTAGCTCACCGTATGTCTCAGACATAGAAGAACATTTCCTGACAAGTGAAAGTCAGCTTTGCTGGAGACACCTTTTCAGAAAACACTTCGAGTAAATAGAATACTTATTTTTTTCGAACGAAAAGTCAGGAAATGAAATTTTTTTAATAAATCTGTAGAGTAGAAACTTTAGGTTCAGAATATATATAATTTGTTCTCCAACTCTTCTTACTTTTCACATAGAATATTGTTTTTCTTTTAAAGTACTGAAATTGAACGTTTTTTGCAACTAAGTTTTCCAATGAATTTACTAGCTCGAATAAAATTTTCTTAGCCAAAAAAAAATTGGTTGCTAATCAAAGTATATAAGTTATGATTCAAATCTCAAAAAGCTCACTTTCATTTTTTCACCCAATATCTATATTGTTCCCATTGTGCTATGAAAGCATATAGGTTACAAATATGTGCATGAAAGAGTTCGTGAAATATCTATGTTGAAACAGCTATAAATATTGTGGATCAAATCTTGCATTCTGACTGATGACCTCTGTAGCAACAACTATAGCAGATATACTCGCCAACGTTTCTCAACAAAATGAAGCATGCTCGGCAAGTTTATTTATTTGACCAAACTTCGCGAAATGACATATAGACAATAGTAAAATCACCGTTTTCTTAGCCATTTTGTTTCATCTAGCGGAGTTCATTTTAGTTTAGGTCACGCTAAATGAATCAAATAATGACAAATGGCAACCAGCCACTTGATAACTGTTTCAAAACTGACCTGTTGCACAAGAACGTTTGTCGATAACGAATATTTGAATGCGTTGATTAGCAGTATCAGCTACATACAAGTTTCCATGTTGATCAAATGCTAAATCATGAGGATACCATAATTGAGCTGTTCCATTACCTGTACCCCGTTCATTGACGATGACACTGCCAGATTTGGAGCCTTTGACCCAACGCATGACTCGACTATTTTCGTATTCAGCGATATAGACAGTTCCCATTTGGTCAACGATCACAGAAACTGGTTCATTCAACTGATCGTCTCTATCTCCATGTCCATTACCACCAGCCACGACAATGTCTTCTTTGGCACCGACGAACCATTTGACCACACGATGATTGTCAGAGTCGACCAAGAACACTGACTTTTCCCGATCGACGAATACATGATACGGGTATGAAAGTTGATTCAGCGCAGCTCCTCGCCCGTTCCCACCAGCGACCACATTGCTAGTGGGCCATTGCTTTACACGATGCTCATCACGGATAGAAATATAAAATGATCCTTCGTGATCCATCGCCAGTCCGATACATGCAATATTCGCAATGAATATTTGTCCCTGATGATCGTTCCTAAACCATCGTTTCACCTGCTTCTTGTCATGATCACAACTATACATGGTCCCATTCTTGTCGACAACAACACTTGACAATGTAGAATTCAAAAACTATGTGTTCTCTTCTTCGCCCTATCCAATGTAAGGAAACACAAACTAACGTCAAGAGACCAAAGCGAAATGTGATACATGATCGATTCCACATACTGCAGTGGGTTACTGTGATTACCTTCCACATTACCACCAGCCACCACTTGGCAGCTTGACACTCCAGACGTCCACTTCATTACTCGATGATTGTTAGTATCCCCAACGTAGACTGCAGCATCGTCATCCACAGACAGTGCCCTGGGGAAATTGAATTGGTTTAATGCGGACTCGACTCCATTTCCTCCAGCTACAGTGACACCATCTCAGTTCCATGTCGCATTTGCACAAATACCATCGTCAATTATCGGACGAACTAGACGATCAACAGATAAACACGATTGATTCTCCGTTTTTCATTGCTTACTCGTTGTCGCCGACACCATCGATGGACATATCGCTTGAATGGCCATGTTCATTGGATAGCACAGTGGACGGGTTTGGCATCGTAGATGCATCAGACACATATGAGCAGGTTGATAACATGTTTGATTATTAGAGGCATAGGAGGACAATTCGGAACAGGCAACATAAAGATAAGCACAAATGGCATTATTGTCATTAGCCGTCAGACGGAGACAACCGCATGCGCTATTCGGGGAACATTGCTCATATTGAATAGCATTTTGACATATTTAACTTTTGACTTGATCTACTTAAGTAAGGAACAATGACAGATGGAAGTTTAAAGAAAACAATACATACTTGTAAGACTAAAAATAGCTACGATATTATTTCATTTTAACAGCATTAAATAGTATCACCTATCTGAGACTCATCAATAACAAGACCCAACTCACCAACATCGTTTTGAGTTATTCTCCCTTTCTACGTTTACCTTCTTTCTTTTCTTCTTCACGCGGTCGAGCATATATCTAACAATGATGGGATCGGGACCATCTGTCAAACAATCAGCTAAACAGTAGAGAGAGCCACCACTACATGCTCTTTAGTTTTTCAAACGGTCGTTCTTTGTCGAGTTTGATTCACTCAGATGCAAGTTTACTTAGAACAATCAAGATGATCAGCTTTTCAAAGCTTCAGTTTCTATTNTTGTAACTTTCGTGACTTACGTGAAGTCGCTTTAACAGCTTTACCAACTATGACATTCATTCAAGCATGCAAAGCGTATGTGAGTGCAGGATTAGTTACTCCTGTTGAAGCATGTAACTGTAATGGTAATTGTTCAACAAAAAAATGTCCTTGTCGGGCAGCAAAAATACAATGTGGTACCAAATGTCATTCGTCAAAAACGAAACCGTATTCAAATGTCTAATTTAACCTTCGTATTTTTGAAAGATAAAATTAATAAAGTTTATATTACGTGTTCAGGAATATTTAAAATTGTCCTATAGGAAAAACTGAAATGTAATTTCTCCCAGGAGAAACTAAAATTTTGACTTTTCCTTGAAAAAGTCCAGTACAAATTGAAATTTCAAGTTCTTCTAGGAGAAATTAAAATTTTAATTTTTCCTCCAACATATATATATATATCTGAGTATTATTCCCTTCTTTTACTTTGACAGGAATGATTCCCAATATTCCAGTAGATGCTCGATGGAGAAAGAATGGAGTGACTGTTGCTGGTCGTCTTCAATGGGGGTTCGCCTTGGATCAACTTCAAAATCCTCACGGTATCTTCGTTGATGATGATCAAACAGTGTTTATTGCTGACTGGGGAAATGCACGTATTGTTCAATGGAAGTTGAATGAGACAAAAGGACAAATAGTAGCTGGTGGTAATGGCTTCGGAAATCGATTAGACCAACTGTATGATCCAACTGATATTTTGATTGATAGAGAGATGGATAATTTCATTATTTGTGATCGAGTAAATCGACGAGTTGTACAATGGTCCCGTTGTCCTAATACAACTCAAGGAGAAATTCTCGTTGAGAGAATTGCTTGTGGAGGAGTAGCCATGGATAATCAGAGGTATCTCTATGTCTCTGAAGAAGACAAACATGAAGTAAGAAGATATAAAATAGGAGATAAGGATGGGACAATTGTTGCTGGTGGTAATGGCAATGGTACTGCTCTCAATCAACTCAACATTCCGGGATACATCTTTGTTGATAAAGAACAGACTGTCTACATTTCAGATCTCTACAATCATCGTGTAATAAAATGGAATAAAGATGCACAAGCAGGAATTGTTGTCGCTGGAGGTCATGGCGCAGGAAAAGCTTTAACACAATTGGCGTATCCTGAAGGAATATGTGTCGATAGATTGCATACTGTCTATGTAGCAGACAAACATAATCATCGAGTAATGCGCTGGCCTAAAGATGCGAAAGAAGGTACTATCATCGTTGGTGGAAATGGTGAAGGACCAGGAGCAACTTATCTTCGTTATCCCGAAGGTATATTCTTCGATCGATATGGTAATCTCTATGTTGCCGACAATGGAAACAGTCGTGTTCAACGATTTTTTATCGAATAGAGTAATCGTTTTCTTTCTTCATTCAAATAAATCACGTTGAATCGAATGAAATGAATAGTTTCTTCAAGCTTGTGCATCCATTAGACATTTTCAACATTATTCACATCAGCATATCGCTCTAAAATATATAGACTCAATATATCTTGAGATCTTTTTTTCATGATTTAAAATCTAAATCCTTTAAAAATTTCCTTAGAACAAAATGTAATGTCAATAGGCAGATAAACAATTGAAATCTAAGAGAAAAATTTCGATTTGGTTTGATTATTCAGCATCAAAGATGAATCTCGTCAACTGATTTTATTTGTATCTCAATTGAAATAAATCAAATGTGAGAAAATCAATTAATATCGACTATCTAATATTTTCCTAATAGGTTAGTTATAATACTGTGTTTCATAATCTAAAAAATAGGTGATCACTGTAAATAATCTAAATAAAAATTTCCCATGATATAGAATAAACGATTGCTCGTGATTGATCCAATAGAAATGACTTGCAAACCTGTCTAATGAAAACCACAATTTTGATAAAAATTGATAACTAAATCAATCGGATCTATATTACATGTCTATCAATTAGCATAGTCGAATATTCATCATTTATACATGGATGTTCCCAGAAAAAGATTTAAGATTAAATCAAAACTGCAAGATGAATAATATGCAGTTATAGTAAAACCTTGCTAAAAATCAACGAAATTTAGTAGAACTGCACCAAGGGAATATTTGTTTTTTTTGTCCCTCACCAATGCAATATGAGAGATCAACACATAAATCATTCTTTTCTTTACTTTTTCAAAAATAAAAAAATAATGATAGACAATACAAGAAATTCGGATTCTTGTACTTCGATTGCTGAAAAATCACGCGTCGCTACATTTTATCATCGTCGAGTTATTTATCTTCTTTTATTCAAGTCTACGCTATTTAGAATGAGATGTTTCATGAGTTGGGTGTGGGTGAGGGTGTGGGTGTTAGTCCTTTGCCTATAATACCCACACCCACACCCACACTCACACGCACACCCACACCCACACCACCCACACCCACACCCACACCCACACTCACACCCACACCCACACCTACACCAACACCCACACCCACACCCACACCCACACCACCCACACCATCCACACCCACACCCAAACCCACACCAACGCCACCCACACCCACACCCACACTCACACCCACACCCACATCCACACCCACATCCACATTCACACCCTGACGGTACGAGTAAGTCTTTTATTCTTCACTGGAAACAATTCGATTAGGATATGACACATGCTTTGGGTAAATAGAAGGAAGCGATATAACAAATATTAGTTTTTTTTTATGAGAACATTATTCGCCACGAAAAGCAAGATGCACCCAAGAAACTATGACTTTCGTTTGAGAAATTCGATGAACAATGAAATTTAACAGATTCAATTTATAATAAATGCTATTTGAACAAAGCTTAATCTTTATTCTTCTTAACTTTGTTGTTCATTGCACTTGGTTTTCCTAATAATAGCTAGATAATTCATTATGTACGTTAGCATTTGTATTTTTTCGAATAGTTGTGGTCATTTCGAAATGTATCAAATTCAAAAAACAGTTATGACAATAGGTTATGAGAATTTGGATCCTTGTCACTCTTTGGTCGGAGAATGGGCAGTAAACGGTTAACATGGATTATTTACAAAAGTGCCAAAAACTGTTTCTCTGATGGAATAAAACTCGAAGAATTTATTTAATATTCATGTGTTTTTTTCTAAATGATTATGCTCAAAATTATTCGTTTAATAGAAATTCAAATCTAAATTTTGAATACCCATGCCATCAAAATCGCCACAAAATTGATGATTATATCGCGAGAAATCGTAAAAATTGGTGATTTTTGCTAATTTTCACAGAAAAATCACCATTTATGCTAAATTTCGACAATAAAATCACCAAATGCTACCGATTAATCGGCGATTTTAAAAGAAAATCGCGAAAAATTGTCAAAAGTGAAGCGATTTTGAGGATATGGGTAAATAAAGAAACTTAATTAATTGTTTTTGTGTTGACTTGTCATTTGTTTTGTATCAATAATTGAACATTTCGTTAAATTGAATTGATGATTAAGACGTGAATTATACTATATATAATCAATGCAAGTATCATACTGACGCGTCAGTACTTGTTGATTCTAAAATGTTGGCTTTTTCAATTGGTTTGTAATGAATTTCGTAAAATCAAATCGAAGATTTTCTCATCGTGATTGTTTTCGTGTCTAGACAATATTTTTCTTATAATAATCATCTGAATAATCATCTCGTGTTAATGCATTTATGTCACCAAGAAGTATACCAATAAAATCTTTTTCTCGAGTGAATGCTTTCGATTGTTTTAATCGATTACTGTCATTTAAATGATCTAAATGTATTACAGTAAATAAATGATTTTCAATACATGGATGATCATCATGTAGATGACATTTAAGAATTGATCTTGTTCCATCATCAGAAAAGAAACTTGCATTTTGATTTTTACATGATTCAAACGGATAACGAGATGCTATAGCATTATCAAAACTATGTTGGCCGTCTGCATCATATATAGAATAAAGGAATGAAGAACTTATAGTTCATTCGTCCAATCTCTCATTATTGAAAACTTCTTGATCAGCAAGTAAACAAAGATCAAATGGTTTCAGAATCGATCTTAAATCATCAATATTACATTCACCGCTTGAAGGATTCAGAAATAAATAAACATTGAGTGTTGCTAAAGGAAACATTGATATATTTGACTATGAAAAACAAAGATAAACTATTTATTTCAAACCCATATTCTTATTAGATATCACTAGTAACTAATGTAGAGTTGAAATAGAAAAAAATAATTTTTCTTTTTATTTAAAATATTCATTTGTTCGATAATGTCGAATTGAAAATGTGAATAGATAAATTAGTTATAACTTCTTCTGAAATTCACTAATTTACACTTTTTGTTTGATTGAACATTTTGTGCAATGCCTTGAAAAATTAGACTCTAATGAAGATATGAAACGCGTCGGCAAACTAAATCTAATTGCATTATCATCTTCATCGACGAAAAGATCGATTGCTGAAATGATTCATTCCTCATCCAATCTCAATAGATGTATTGTTTTGGTCGTTCTTCCGACCAGTACTTGCTTTCTGCATATTTTTCTTTCTGCGCTTTCGATAACGCAGTTTTCATTTTTCGCCGAGTCTCGATTCATATCAGCTCACGTTGTGTCACATTTTTTTGCATTTTTGGAGCGTAAGTTTTTTGCTACTCGTGCTTACATCCAATTTCGCAAGAGAATCTATACACCATAGGTCTTTGCGTCGAATACAGTCCAGGATGTCCTTTAGAAAATGTCCTTGACGAAATGCTCCCGAATTTTCGTTCTCATAAAAAATGTCCTCCAGATTTCGTCCTTGAAAAAATGTCTTTCAGAATAAATGTCCATGGCGAAAGTGTCCTTGAGAAATGGTTTCAAATGTAAAAAATGTCCTTCTTTCTCAATTATTGTTTTTTTAAATATCATGTCACTCGACACGTAGATAACACTGTAATCCAAACATATTTCAACATATTTAAGTTGTTCATATAGAGGATTTCTATATAAAATGAATCAATAAGAATGAAAGAAAACTTTAGTAAACTACGATTACTTACGCCTAAATAATATTTCATAAATAACTAAAACAAATATTTGTTTAAAATGGAATCACAAGATATTATGATAGATGAGACAACATCATCGTCTTCTTCAAGTGAATATTCATTATGAGTGGGTGTCGGTGTGGGTGAGTGAAAGACCAATATCCACACACACACCTACAGTCATACCCACATTCTTTTAGTAAAAGGACATTTTGATAATGGAGAACATTTTTTCGGAGGATCACACCACTAAGGACCATTTCTAAAGGACATTTTTACCAAGGACATTTACTCTGATAATGGAGGTGTTTGTATTGATAATCAAAAAGATAGGACATATTCGGGTCAAATGAAAACTCTCACCGCCAAACTAACAAGGTTAAAATATTAGCGACTGTTGGCTTGCCTAGAGGGAGATATTTAGATTTTAAATTTAGGTATGAAAATGAATCAGGAAAGGTTTTCTCCACTATTATAAGGATAAAACATGCTGTTGTTCGGGGCGA